CCCCCCCCCCTACCCATAAGGCAAAATTGTCAGTTTTTGAGTTCGGATGGTCTCTAGCCTATTCAGAGGATACAAAAGACTCAAGAAACCATCAAAGAATCTCATAGGCGACCAATAAACCCGGGTGTCAAAACTGCCAATTATACGCCGAATTGGCAACTTCGACCCCCAAAATGGGGGGTAAAACTTCGAGATAGGGAGAAATGCCCATTGACACTTTTGATCAATAGGTTAAGACCTACAACATATCAAAACGCCAGCCGATTTAACCGGGCCCACTTTTCCCATAAGATCGGTCCGTCGTCCTTTTGGACATTCATCATTTCTCCAAAGCGAACCATCGCGCATCGCGGATATACATATGTTTTTCAATTATTGAAACTTTGAACCCCCTATAGCCGTTCTACAATATTCAATTTTTCTGATTTTATCTATTTTTATAGGATGATTTTGTTTAGAAATGGCCTGCAGAAGTATTTAAATGCAAAATCTCGTGACTCATGGTTGGTAAGGGAGCATGCGTGAGCTTAGGATTCAGAACAAACCAGGTCCCTACGCACCGAATCAAGTTTGAAAAATCATAACTCCTGCCCAAATTGTTTCTCCAGGATGAACTTGGGCTCGTTTAAAAACTTAGGCAGTCAGTTGTTATAGGAGAACTAGGGCGTCAGGGCTGCAGCCTGATTATTGAAATGTCTTGTTTGTCGGATCGACATAGATGACATAGGTTAAAAGGCGGAGCGTGATTGATCGGCAATGTCTTAACGCTGCTTTATCGTGCCTTTGTCAGGTGGAATGATCGACATACTGTCGGAAACTTAAGAGGTGCTGTTAGCTTGTCGATCATTCCACCTGACAAAGGCACGATAAAGCAGCGATGAGACATAGCCGACCAATCACGCTCCGCCTTTCAACCTATGTCATCTATGTCATCCCGACAAACAAGAAATTTCAATAATCGCCCCGCTGGATTAATCGTAGGGGCAAAGTGGGCCTGTGCCCACAGCGGCAAATTTTCGGGGGCGGCAGAAATCGAGAAACCAAAAAAAAAAAAAAAAAAAATGCCGCCCCTGAAAATTTGACCGGAAAAAATAACTTAAATTAGAGAGAAGAGGCCGTCCATAACATTACGTCACTCGCCTGGGGTGGAGGGGGAAGGGTTCAAGAAATCGGACAAATAGGTGACGTAATTTATGGACGGCCCGAAAGGAAAAGGCAGTCTCGTCAGCAGGAGAAGGGCTGTGTCGTACAGCGGCACTACTTTTCTCCGTGAACGTCTACACTTTTGTTTTTGGGTTTAAAACATTGCAATTAGAGTTAACATCTTTAAAATCAAAGTCCAGATGTGATCCAAATCGCATATCACGAAAAAAGTCAAAAGCAAAGTTACAAAAGACGTTTATTCGTCGATGTATAGATATCGATATCGAACGCGGGTGGGATCACCTTAATTTTACCTCACTTTTTTCAGTGTAGCCTCGCCAGTGGCTGCTCGTGTTGAGTTGTGAAACCCCCGTGTGGGAACCTGGTAAGGCAATCTAATTATACTTTTTCAATTACTTGTTTTTCATATTTTCAATACAATACAATAGACTAGTGTCAGTAGAGTGGTGCCTGACATCCCTTTACACAAATGAGTTTATTATTTAAGATCATCTAAAATTAAGTTCTTGATTAAACAATAAACCCTTAGTAAAACTTGGATTAAAAACTAAAAAAATTACAGCCTCATTTTTGGAAATTTTTAAGTAAAAAATGGGCTAAAATTGCATCTTACAGCGGTCAGATTTTCCAAATTTTTCGGTCGGGAGGGGGCGCCGCTGGCCGCTCCCCCTCCGGCCATCCCTCTGGGGCGGCAAATTTCCGCAAGTCAACAGCGGCAAAATCGTTAATCCAGCCCTGTAGGGCGTTATGCTCCCTGGGCGTAACGCAGCCCAACCCCCAGAGAGCACTTTGCGCTCTTTTAGGCCAGCGTCGACAAAAGAACGACCCAAAAAAAAATGAAAAGATTTTCATACCCGACTCTCATTTATCCAATCTCCTTCTGGCCGAGAGCGATTGGACTAATAAGAATCGGATGAAAAAATCGGCATTTATTTCAAACTTCACGCCAAGACTGAAACAAAATGGGACAAACGGAACGGAGAGTCTTGTCACTTTTGGATAGTCTGTAGCAAAGGAGCGTACCTTCGAATAACTTACCTTACTGACAGACCAAGATTGAACATTTCCCACTTAGTTATATTTTTGGCTAAATTTGAAATTCCCGCCATTTTACGGTGGTGAGAATTACAAACTTTGCCCCCCTTCTTAAGCTCTCTGGTTCACTCTTATAGAAAAAAAATGGGTCCTATTTTCAAATTCTGATTACAGCGGGCTCATCTAGGGACTATTACCTATCGATAATTGCAAAAATTATGGAAATCGGCCCAGTAGAACGCTCAAACGAATTGTGACAAAAAAAAAACAAGATTTACATTGTTTAAAGGGGACAATTCGCAAATTTACCATGTAATATAAAAAAAACCTGGGGCATATTTTCAAAATCTGAATATCGCGAGCTCATCTAGGGACAAATGCCTGTCAAAAACAGTAAAAATCATGAAAATCGGCTCGGAAGAACGCTGGAACTGAGCGTTACCAGATATACAAATTTAGGAGGTCTTGGAGCTTATAGTAGTAATAGCTTTGTCATTTTCCGTGCAGCCCCCTCAACGCTGCAGCTCAGAGTGGAAAAAATTGGAAATCTGAACTACAACAACGAGGAAACGATGGATGAAAATGTCAAAATGGACCAACTTCGTTAAAGTTAGCTAAAAATTGGAACTTTTCTCTAAATTTAGAGACCAATATCATCTCCCTACTACGAACCTTTCACGAGTTATGCCAGTTTAAAGTTTTAACTTTTACTCCCTTCCCTGCCCCAATTTATTCGATTTCAAAAATCGTCAGTGCTTAGGACTCAGAAAGTGATCCTTTGTCAACCCTGGAAGTATTTCGAAGATTTGGCCGAGGTTGATAATGACCGATTTTGAATAAGGTACTTTAAAGAAGGTATTCAAAGTAGGCCAATATTTACCTAGATCAAATGACCTTTGTTAGGCGAATTTTTGCAAGTGGATTCAGTTCATTTTAGAGCCAAATTTCATAGAACTGCCATCTGACACAGAGTAGAGAGCTTTTAATGTCATTAAAAATGGCAAACTTACTTTTCATATGCAAGAGGAAATATTTTGGAAGAAATAGAAACATATTTTAAGGTCAATTTGGTGTTACTTACAAAGATTTGCAGCCAAAATTTACAAGGAATAGAATACAAATTTAATTACAAATTGATCGAATTTTATTAATCACAAGTTTATTTAGATCATTATTATTATTAGATCAAATTGTGAAGGCTTATTCTCGAAACATAACTCTTGACTTGAGTGCAAAAATCTTCGCAATGTAGGCAGACTTGGCTGAGAAATACCTGTGCCTCTTATTAAAGGCACAACAAGAACAAGTGGGTTGCATTTTGCAAAAAGGAACCAAGATCATTCCAATGTCACTAAGATTGTGCAACTTCTTTCACCTTGCAAATATAAACTGATCATCTAAAGCTAGGTTTACCTTTACTCCCATAAACTATGAATTCAATACGAAAATTACCTCCGTAAATTTAATTTTTTGCATGATTTCAGTAATTTTATTGCAAAGGATGTAAGTTGCACAATCCTAGCAACATTGGGGTGCCCTTGGTTCCTAGTTGCAAAATGCAATCCAAGTATGATGAACAGGTAGGATTTTTGCTCTAGAATGTGACCTCCACACTTTTCTCGACCATAATATGAAAGGTTCTACAGAAAGGCTACAATGCTCTTGGTGTGGACTCTACTGGGGAATTACGTTAGAATGCACATTTTGATCTCTCTAGTCTGCAAATAGGTGGGGGACTGGAACGGTTAAAAAAGTGGTAGCACCAATCTTAAAAGGCAGTATACTCAATTTCAAACTGTAAACAAACTGTAGATCATTAAAAATCTTAGTATGTGTTCTCAGTAAAAACTCTGTTTAACACCATACAAAGTTGTTGTCCTCAATCATTAAAAGGCAACTACTTTAAATACAAAGACGGAATAACATTGACTCGTACCATACTCGATTCATAGCACAATCTATTTGAAAAAATCTGATCTTGCCCATTGGAGGTAAAACTTTTGAGTATTACTTAATGTTGCATGTACCTAATAAAATTTCAGGCATGAGACTTAATTCCGCTATCTTTGATACCTAGGTTTTTGAACTTCATTGTGCTTTTAGGGTGACATCATACATTGCTCCTTCAAGAATAAAATTACGAGCAGTGGTAAAACCAACCAATTCGGTATACAGTAAGTAGCCTTTGCTAAGTTTCAGTCTTGATATTACTTTCAGTCTTGTATTTCTTTGCCTCAGCCTAGTAGCTACTATGCTACTGATACAACCGCACTGATAGAGGTTAATCGCTTCTGTGGAAAAAGTTGAGAAAAAGTTTTACAAAACCAAAAGAAAAATTACAAAATAAATCAGCAATATCATTTTTTTCGGTGTAATATGATTCTCAAGGCAGTTTTTTGTCTAATGAATCTTTTACAATGCCTTTTCTGTGAGCTATTTCATCTATTTTATGCAAATCTTTCAGAGAAAATTCGTACGATCCTCGCTGTAGTGGTTTGGGCTGCGATGCATCCGGTTTCCATCCAATCAAAAATATTAATTGAAAGGTTGCTTGAATTTTGCCTTCGTTACCGTAGAGAGTTTCGTAAATGCTTGCTGCGGCAAGCATTGTGTTTCGGCTTAGATGTAGATTCCGTCTTCTGGCTGCATTACTCTCACCCATTCCTGTAAATCAGGGGCAAGTAAGACAAATGTTTTATAAATTTAGCCTTTTTACTTATGGCCAAAGAATTGAAATCCGATGTCAATACATACCCTTCCAATTTGAAATATGCGAGAAACGGGGGACACCTCCCTCACCCCCCCCATGGGATTTTGGGGGCTGAAAATATTTTTATTGAAATCTTTGGAGTTGATTTACCCCTGCTAAATTTCGTCTCGAAGCTCAATTTTCGACCGTTTCCGAGAAAAAAGATAGTGGACGGGTGCTCTGAAACACCCGGTACGTTCCAATAAATATGACATTTTTATCCATTAACATCTTTGGTAATAAGTTGCAGGCTACATTCATTCTCTCGCAGAACTTCACCTTGCAGCACTTCCACTTCAGTCACAAAAATCATTCCAAAAAAGGTAGAAAATAAGATAAGTACCCTGTAAAATGAATGTGATGTCTCAGCTAGCGGTAGGATATTCATAGGATATTGTAGGAGCATTCGATGGCATATCCTATGAATAATAATGAATATCCTACCGAGTATCCTACGAATATCTTACGAATATTCTGATGATACGAGTCAGATAACCTATGAATATCCTTCAAATATTGTACCACCGAATATCCTACGATTATCTGAGCAAATCTCCTGTAGGTTTTACTTTGGAGTAACTAGAGCCGTACCTAGCATTTTTTGTCTACCAGCCTACCCCAAGTGGCAGTGATCGCGATAAATAGCGATTGAGTCGGTTGGTTGTCGCGATTATATCGGTGGCATTATATCGAGATATTATCGCATTAAATCGCGATATATGGCGATTAAATCGCTAAAAATCGCAATTTTTAGTTCAATAAAATCGTGATCAATTTTTGTCAATAAAATCGAGATTAAATTGCCATTTATCGCGATTTTTATTTCAAAATTATCGCGATAAATTGTCGGGCGATATAAGCGCGATTTTGTCGCGATAAGATCGAGGATAATCGCTCAGATGTTCATGATCCTGGCGATTTTGCGATAAAATCGCAACATATAGCGATTTTTCCGTTGAGAATTGCTACTTGGGACATGTCTTCAGCCTCAACAGTAGCAAGGGGTAACATAACCTCACTTTCGGGACTTGCTTCGATACATTGAGTATAACTAATTTATCCGATGCGATTTTGGGGATGTACCAGATAGGAACGTACATTTGAGGATACAAAGAACTCATAATCGCGAGAAAATCCGGCAGAAACTGTCTGAAACTACCCAGAATCAGCCCTTGAAAATTGACTTTCCGTTCCTTACGGAAAATCTCATGTAAATCGAACCGACCGAATCCCGGTTAGGACACCAGGCCTAAAATCGCGATATATCTCGAAATAGGACGTCATCACTAAAACGGTCTATTGGAGTAATACCACCAATTTATTACTCCTCTCCGGAACATTCAAGAAATGTCTCGGTCCTTCGTCAACGGACGAACGATGACTGATTATGGTTTTTCTGGAACTCCCCTAATTTCATTCCAGGTGATGCGCAATGAAATTGAGGCCCTTCCTGCTCCCGCGCTCTTTTTTGGAGATAGGTATCTAAAACTGTCATGGACTGTCGGGAGAGTGGCGCAAGGCGACGAGAGGTAGTTGTTTTTGGAATTTTCGTTTTTTTTCAGTCAGTTGATGAGTAGCTGCCCGAGAGGCGTTCGTCGTCACAGAAAATTGCCGTGGAAAAAGGATTTACGGTGGCAGCGTAATGGATCGTCGCGCCGGCCGCGCTGCTTTGCGTGTAGGTTCCAGTAACGCCGCGTAACCGTATGTGAGCTGGGCACGAGGCTTCCTGGCTTTTATCGATGACGCCATTAAGAGTCAGTTAAGTCATTTTTTTTTATTGCGTCATTCGAAAGTAGTGAGTCGCCGAAGGTTACAGTTTTTTTACTAATTTTTTTTGTGACTGCAAACAGGAGAAAAGTTTATTTGAACGTGCCAAAAATTAGGGTGGCCTAAAACGGCGTATGAACGGCGTAGGTTTCGAATGCACACGTCACCATCAATATGGCGGAGTAGAAGAATACACGGCGGCGTCACGTTGGCGGTGTGTTTTTGTCAAAGACATAAAGACGGAGTGCTCGTATCTAAAAGCACGGGGAAAAAGTGAAGCCTGGTTTGGCGCTGGGTGCTTGTGTGAGTGTGTAAATGAGCGCGGGAATCCATGGCGGCAAACGGAAATTTGATTTGAACTTGTCCTCTTGATTTTTCCACATTTCTTCTTCGAAACGTATTTTAAATGCCTAAAACGAATATGTTAAGAAAGTTGGGACTGCGTCCTACTATAATACACCTACTTTTGCTCTGTACCAGGCAGTAATCTCAGATAAAGTTAGTTTTTCTTCTGCTCATGGTGGTTCTGCAGGTTCAAACAGGCCGTTACAGTTCTAGATGAACGTTACTCCCAAATGAAATTAATCGGTCGACGACGGACCAAAGCTAACCGAAAGTTAAAGAAATATGAGTGGGTAAGTGAATTTGGGCAAAAATCAACCTAAAATACTTTGTTTCCGCAATTTTATTTAGTTCCCGCCCTACATTAGTTCCCGCCCTACATTTGAATTTCAAACTTGTCCCGATTTCGCCGCCAATCCTCTAGCCAATAGTAGAGGTTGTTGAAAAGAAGCTTCATTTTTTGCTTTTAGCCCCCCGTCTTTATATCTTTGGTTTTTGTTCGTCAATTGGAGGTTACGTAGGTTACTTTGTTTGAGATGTATACCAATTGTTCTTAATTCTTTAAGCTTTTCAATCAGAATGCGATACAGGTCTGTATGGGATATGAAACATTCACACAGAACCTCAAACGAGAAATCGTGATGTCAACAACGGCAGCGTGGCGGTAGTAAGCAGGTTGGCTTCGTCGCCACCATCTTCCCGTCTATGACGCGTATATTCGAAGATTCATGGCGGTCGGTTCAAACGTAATTTCGAGGACTCCTAAAAAAGAAGCGTCATCTCGCCGCGGAGACAATTTTTCGTGAAATCTTAACGTGCGCATCGTTCTTCTCGTATCGAAAACTTTAAGATTCGACTATTTGCAGGCAAATCTCTCCAGAGCTTGACTGACTCATTCTATCGGATTGAACTGAATAGATGAAAGAGATATGTTGCGGTATGGGTATTTCAGAATAATGGACCACTAGACAAGGTTTTACCTAAAAATAAATTTCAATTGTCTTCTCAAAATTTTGAGTACCTAAAAAACTATTCACACAACGGGAAGTTCGGAGATCAACTTTGGAACGAGATATTAAGAAGGCGATGACCAAAATGCGAAGCCACGTATCTTCTTTTGCGACGTTGTAGATTCTCTGCCATACTTCACTTTTTCTTATGAGAATTAATCAACGTAATTTATTAAAAACTATCTTTATTCTTCTTCTACTTCAGCAGAATATTCTTTCATTATATTTCAAGCTAAAATGTTAGCTTCTTTCTCAGTTTTAAAATTGTCAAAAATGATTAACAAAAAGCAGGATAACTTCCACAATCCTTCGATCCTAGGAATGCAGGTTCACGGCGTGCACTGGGTCACTGGTCTGATATTGTGTAGGTACACCGCGGTTGGTAGGTTTAGAGCGGCAGATAGAATCTACCTGTCAGTAGAACGCATGTGTTGAGAGTGAAACAACAATAATGAACGAGGATTTCGATCGCTCGACGTCGAACACTTCTTTTCGCGTGCAGGCGTCAATATTTGATTTCATTCACGGCAGGTGTAACGAGATGACTATTCAACCACGATTGTAGGCATATTGCCGCCAGCCGGACGGAAGGCGTGTCACACTGCGAAGATGACTCCACCGCGTTCCCTACCCTGGCTCGCGCGACGTTGAAACCGCCGCTAAACTAGGACTACGTATCATCATTCTTGACTTTCTGCACCGATTTTTACCATAACTCAAGGGAAAATATATATCATGCCGATGAAGGTGTAACGCGGGCCTCGACATGATTGTGCTCCGTCAGGTGCCACTTTTAGCGGCAGGAATATGTCTTCTATCTCTAAGGGCACTTGTGCCTCTGGTTTAACCCTGTTATCTTTTATCTGTGATATGAATACACGCGCTTCGTTCCTCTCGAAACCTTGTTTTTTTCAGTTTCCGCCCTTTCGTTAGCTACTTTTTCAATCAGCGAAACCATAAGGTCATGGATCCGGTCCGCGAAGTTCGCTATGCGCGAAAATGAACGGAACGTAAAAAGTAGAAAAGTTATAGTCGGGAGCGTGTGTGTGCGGACAGTCGGTAGGTGGTACGTTTTGTTTCTCGTTTCGGGGAAGTTGTGGTTGTGGCGAAGTAGAAAGTTCGTGAAGCGTGGAGTTGTTGGAGTATAAAACCTTCACGGTTTCCAAACTCACCCGAAAGAATTATGTCGCGAGGAAAGCTCGCATCAAGTCGAAGAGTTTGCATCGGGAAAAAGCGGGCATAGGCTATGGCGATGAGGACGACACAAACGCAAAGAAAAATTAATCTTGTGGCGATGTCTTTGGTCATGAGGTCAGGAACAGACGAACTCATTTCTGATAGTGTGGATGTGAATGATGCGGCAGAGGCACGGCAAATCCGCGAGAACGCATGTCACCAGAACACCGAATTCGGAGAAATGCTTAAATTAAGGGGACTGGCAGGGGACAATGGTGAAAAACCAATACTGGAGTATACCAACGAAATGGTCAAGATAAAAAGAGTTCTTCAGCACAACATTGTAGATATGACAGAGAAGCAGCTAGCGCAGCTCTGCTTACCAGGCTTGCCACCAGAATACGAAATGACTTAAAACTCTTTTTACGCAGTCAGAGAAACTAAAGATCTCCGCTGTCAAACAAGTTTTACTAGAGGAGGAAAAAGGAAAGGAGGGAAAATCCAATCAACACAAGGCGCGTCGTGCCGCTAAAGACTCCACTCAAGGCCCAGCTAGAGGCAAAGGGTCTGGACGCATGAGAGGCAACAAAGGTCGAGGAGGATCCAGCTACGGAAATTGC